ACTAAGCTAATTGGCCAGCCCCTTGGTGGAGTATTCTTCAGTTTTAATAAAGAAGGAAGTCCTATCACATGGCCCTACAAGAATGAAACTTGAGGACATTATGCTAAGTGAAAACAGTCACAGAAAGACAAATACAGTGTAACTCCACATGTACGAATTATTTAAGGTTGTCAAACCCATAGCAGCAGAAGATGAAATGATGGTGGCCAGGGGGAAGGGGGAATGGGGAGTTGTTCTATGGGTATAGCCTTTCATTCATACAAGATAAAGAAGATCTTAGATATTTATTGTAGAAAAATGTGAATATGGTTAGCAATACTGTACTTAAAAATTGTTATAGATCAATTTTATGTTACATGCTAGGGACAAATGGTGCTGGATAAATGGATATCTACATGCAGAAGAATGGAGCAGGACCTTTCATTTTTCTGTATATAAAAATAATCTCAAAATGTATCAAAGACCTAAATGTAACAGCTAAGGTTATAAAACTCTTAAAAGAATACAAGGGGAAATAGCTTCATGTCTTTGGAATTGGAATGGATTTCTTGGTTATTACATCAACCTCACAGGCAAGTTTAAAAAAATAAAGATGAAATAGACCTTATTAATATTACAAATTTTACACATCAAAGGAGAATATAAGACAGTAAAAAGACAACCCACAGAATGGTAGAAAATATATATATATTTTTTAAAGATGACCGGTTTTCCCCCTACACACACACACACATACAGAGTGTCCTATGAAAAAATACTGATCTAAGAATTTACAGAATTTTTTTTTTTTTTTTTTTTTTAAAGATGACTGGTGAGGGGATCTTAACCCTTGACTTGGTGTTGTTAGCACCACGCTCAGCCAGTGAGTGAACCGGCCATCGCTATATAGGATCCCAACCCATGGTCTTGGTGTTATCAGCACCGCACTCTCCCAAGTGAGCCACGGGCCGGCCCTAAAATATTTCTAAATCATACATCTGATTAGGGATTAACATTTCGAGTTTATAAGGAACTTCAATTCTGGAATATTTAAAAAAAAATCATATACGGAAAAAGGACTTGAATAATTTCACCCAAAAAGATATACAGATGGCCAATAAGTACATGAAAAGATGTTCAACATCACTAAACACTAGGAAAGTGAAAATCATAACCACAAAGATATCACTTTACCCCTATGATGACAGTAAGTATTGACAAGGGTGTGGTAAAATTGGAACATTTCTGCATTACTAGTGGGAATGTAAAAGGTGCAGCTGCTCTGGAACACAATATGGTGGTTCCTCAAAAAATTAAACAGAATTGCCACATAAGCTAGTTATTCCACTTTTGCATGTATACAAAAGAACCAAGAGCAAAGATTTAAATAGATATTTGTACACCAGTGTTCATAGCCCAATTATTTACAGTAGCCCACCAGTGGAAAACTCAAATTTAAACACATTCCATTGCTTGAAATGTAGCCCTAACAAGCATATTTTTAACCATTTAGAGTGTCCCTGCTTTGTATATTTTGTAAAATTATATACAACATCTGCTGACCATAGATAAGATAAACCCTGGAGCTACAAAAACCCAAAGCCCCTGCTGTCCTTTAGAGCTTTTTGACCCAGAGACATCCTGCCAGGGTGCTGAGCAACATCACTTAGTCACTTACGACCCCCATCTTATCCCCATCTCTTGGTGTTCTCTTCCTCTCCACCCTTTCTGAGTAGTGACTCTCCAGTCGAAGTCTGTGGATACTCTCATGCTCTGTGGGACTCTCCCCACCCCCTTCACTGTTAACTTGTCAAAGCACTGCCCCCCAAAAACTTATGCACTGTTACCACATCATAGTCATATACTTTTCTTAATCAGCAAAGAAATCACTTGAACCCCTCACATATATGTATATTTTTATTTTTTGCATTAAGATTCCTTATCACTTGAATTTTATTCTTGTATGTGGTGTGAGATACAGATTTCATTTTATTCTTTTCCAGATGGCTAACCAGTTGTCTTGGCACATTTTATTACATACTATAGTTTTGCTTCATTGATCTGAAATACATTTATGAACCAACTTTCCTTATGTTCTTAGGTATATTTCTAGATATTCCATTTGTCTATTCCTGTTCCTGTGCCAGTACCACACAGTTTTAATTATGGTGGCTTCACAGTATGTTTCAACACCTGTAGATCATCATCACTTTTGTTTATTAGTATTTTTTGGTTATTTTCAGATCTTTGTTCTTCCCTATAAAGTTTAATATCAATGTGCCACTTCCTAAATAAAACTTTAGGTATTTTTATTAGGATTCTGATACATTTCTAAATAAAACTCTGGAGA